TGAATATGCCATCAATGCACTTAATATATTTTTCTGTAAACAAGTGCATATCATAGATAAGAGACAATCTGAGGTGCGATGATACAGAGAAGCCTGCAGTCTGAGGAAGGCTCCATTGTCATTGCTATCGCAATCACACATTTGTGACCTTGTAAGCAAGAAAATGCAGCATCCTCACTATTTAGCCCCACAAAGAATAGGCCGTATTTTAACTGAAACCCCCTCAATGAAAAAGGGCCACAAACCACTATTGTACAAAGATGAAATCTGCAATTTTCTGCATTAATTAAAAAGTTCTGGCAGTAGAATAAAGCTCACTAAATCATTGTAAATCATTTAAACAAGTGGTTTAGTAGTCTATGAAGACCTGCAACAGCCTTCTACAGCAAAACAATAAAAACGACACAATCCACTGTTAACTAGTCTCCGTTTAATTATCAAGCAAGTATTTTAGGCTTTTATCTATCCTGTAGCCTTCAACTGATTTCTTGTTATTTACGGTATACCTCTGAAGATTATAAAGCATTATTGTATATATTATATCACCTAACATCAAATGGTTGAGACTGTGGTTTTACATTTCTATAAGTTGATCTCTATTTACTTATTAAAAGCTAATATTTATCAAGTGCCTTCTTTCTGTTAAATAATGTATAACAATTATTTAATGCAAGCCTCACAATAACCCTGTAAGGTAGGTGTAATTACTACTTATATTACTACCTCTAGAAATCAAAGTTTAGAGGTCAAGAATCTTATCCAAAGGATCAAACCTATAATAAATGACAGAATCCTGACATGATTCCAACTATCTTTGGTTCCAAAGACCATACTTATAAACAAATTATATGGTCTCCCCCAAAAAGCAAATGAAAGGATTATTTAAACCTTATGTATTGATTGCAAAGCATTTTGGAGATTCTGCTTTCCATTAAATTCTTATGTAATGCCCATAAATTCATCAGAAAGCATATATACCAACAAATCAAGTAAATATAGAAAATCTGTTTCCCAGCATCATTTAGATAAGGGTTTCTCAATCCGAGCACTATTGACATTTTGAACTGGATAGTCTTTGTGGGTGGATGTTGTCCTGTGTACTGTTGGTTGTTTAGCAGCATCCCTTTTTTCTGCTCACTAAATGACAATGCCATCCCCTCTCAGCTCTGATAAACAAATATGTCCTCAGACGTTAGCAAATGTCTCCAGTAAGTCAAAGTCACTTCCAGCTGAAAAACTAATTTACATGAAAGTTATCCTGGCAAGGATGACATAATCATGAAAGAAGAACATAACTAAGAACCTGGATAAATCAGCCTTACAAAGCCTCCACCTGAAACGTCCAAATAATGCCAAAAAGAAATGGTAGAAATAGGCTTGCCTTACTCAGTGTTCACACTGTTATTTGTCTGCATTATCTTGTTTTAAAGGTAGAAATTTCAATTTGAGAAAGAGAAATTTAAACTGGAAGTCAAGGTTGATACTGACTTACATTAAATATACATAGTTTTAAGTATCACAAATTACAATAAGTGAATTTGAGGAGAGTATCCTACAATACACTTCTCAAATTCAAAGGCTGCTTTTGATATGAAATGCAAAGTTTATTATAATTTTAACAAGACTACAACAATAACAACTTTCTACAGTAATTTACACATTGATTTTTCAAAATTTTGTTTTTAAACAAATGATATGTGTATTTACTTCTATATCTTTGAAAAATTCTATATTACTATGTATTAAAACAAATTGACTTTTATAAATATATTCTTCATGATTCTTCCATAAAATGTAATAAATGCAAGAAGACTGCATTATTAAATTGCTCACTAGTATCACTGTGATTTTAAGTTTTCATTTTCCTCAGACTACTTATACTCAAAATTTAAAGCACATGGCTTGAACAAGAATTATTGTCAACAACTAATCATTAGGGAATTGTTCTTAGATCTGATATATTTGCAAGACCAATAGAATTATCTATACATAAAATATATTTTTTGCATCTAAGTCTTTCCTTTACATTTCTTCTTCAGTCTGACTGTAGAAGAAGATATTTGAGGCAGCAACTATGTATTGATTTCTGATTACCTTCAAACATTCACATTTATTTTTAAATATTCTTGAATACATTTGAAAAATAAATTTTGCACACTCCCTTGTAGAGGAAGAAGTTACTGCTGACTCAAAATTAGAATTCAAAAAAAAAAAATTGAGACATGTGTCTAAGTTTTATGTCAGTATCAAAAGAGATGATCCTAGATTTAAATACCTGCTTTGTCATCTTTGTTTGTACTGTGGGACATTGGACAAGTTATTTAATCTATTTTAGTCTCATGTTTTATTACTAAATTCATAAAATAAAAATAAACGGCAATCTATAGACTGTTTAACATTAAATGTAGTAACATAGGAAATGCAGAAAACTCAACATCCAAAGGCCTGATAGGATAGGACTGATTGTTTATACACTGTTCTCTGTGAGTCAGATACTTTTATTTTTAAAATTTTATTTTTTTCTTTATTTCTTCTTTAATTAAAAAAAATGGGATACATGTGTGGAATGTGCAGGTTTGTTACATACATCTATATGTACCATGGTGGTTTTCCGCACCTATTGGTGTTCTTTATTTTTATTTGTGCAATTAATTCATCATACTCAACACCATGTACTGCTATAACCCATCCCCCATTTTGAAAATAAGGAAACTGAGGTACATACATTCAAGTAACTTGCCTAAAGTCACACAAGTAGTAAGCCACAAAGCTGAGATTCAAATTCAGGCAGTTTGGAGCCATGGCCTGTAGTTGCAATTATACCACAACTCACTGGAAACCACAATCAAATAATCCCATCATGTTTAGTGTTTAGTCACACCATAAAGCAGCTCGGTGCAAAGAAAACAGGGTAAGTTTTAGTGCCAAACAAATTAAATCTATTTTTTGAATATGTACATATACATATGTAATATAAATATATGTATATATATTTCCATTAGTTCTCTTTTACATATGTAGTAAAATATATATGTATGAAATATATTTCCTTATTTTCAAAATGGGGGATGGGTTATAGCAGTACATGGCATGGAGTGAGTATAATGAATTGCACAAATAAAAATGAAGTGTATGACCCACAGTGAACATTGCATAACTATGCACTGTTCTTTGACAGTAAAAGAAAAAAGTTACTTTTTACAACAGAAAAGGAAAAACAAATAATGCCTTGTATTGTTGATATGATAATTAAATAAAATAACATGCATACTGCTTAGCATGATACCTGATGTGCTTAATAAATACTAGTTATGAGAGCAGGGATGAGTGTGAACCAAGACTTTCACCTCATGGTCCTTCTGACAAAAGTCATATATAGTTCAAATATAATTAGGACTGGTAAAATATAGATTTTCATCTCCTTTCTATGAATTTAAAGGAAATGGAAGCAAACCTATGCCTTAGTGTTTTTCAGGAACACATTTTAAACAACTAAGATAAAGGAATACCAAGATATTATCTGATTTACAAATAATTGAAAATTCAAAAATCAAAATTAAAGTTTCTTTTCTGGGGTTACATAAATATATCATAAACTAAAAATATTTATTTTGATGCTCCTGTCTTCTTATGTTACCCTAAGTTTCATTCACTGACTAAAACGACAAGTAAATGATGCTTCAAGACTAGAATTAATATTTCTCTGAATATGAAAAATAGCACGTTTCTAAACTACAGAATCTTTCTGCTTTGTCATAATACATCTTTAGTAAATCCAACCTTTAAACAAGCCATATCAGCTTTACCATATATCATATGTACATCAACATATGTCAAAAGGTAGTATCTAATATTTTATAAAGTTAGATTATACATGATCTACCTATCTAAATTGAGATATACATAAAAATGCCTCATATGTACATATGTAATACAGTAAGAATGTATAAGATAGAATATTTGGATATGTCTGTCTTTATCCCATGAGATAGAAAAACCTTGGATAAAATTGCATACAAATAAGTAAAACATTTTTTATGATTAATTTCATCTCACAATTTCTACCCGTAGTATTACTTACCTTTTACTGGCATTTAATTTTGTTTCTCTAACTAAAATGATCATTCTGTAAAAGCCAAGATAGTAAGACTCCTATAAACTATTAAATGGGTTTTAGAAAGAAATAAAATAGAATTATTAAAATGCTTTAGTCACAAAAGCAAGCATCTTTAATGAAAAAAGTTGTTTTATCATGAAACAAAACAATGTCAATAATCAGAGCCAAAACTAAAAATGGCATATAATTAATAAAGTATTCCTAAAGTCTGGATAGTTCGTGCCAGTTGTGAGTGAATTTTTCAATTTTCCCCTGGGTATTTGCCATCATGTCCGTCATGTATACTATAAAGTGATAGTCAAGGCCTGTGTCTATCTATGGAAGTAAAGTGAAAAACTTGCATTATTCAAATACCACCCACCTCTCCCAAATAATCTCAACATATCCTTTCATAAGTGAACATTGAAGAGTTTGGGCTTTTTGTGAGCATAGAGCCCACAGCCAAAACATTGCCGTGTGATAGCACAAACCTCTAGGGGGTGCAATTAAAATATCTGGATTGTATATTTTATCATGTGGAGTGTAAATGACTAGGGAAAGCTTTTTCTCTTAAAAGAAGCTGTTATTTAGGAAGTGTTATGCACATTTTTCTCCTAAGAAACCTTGAAAGATCTGTCCAGAGTGCTGACGAGGTTTCAGCGGGAGAAGGCTGGAAATTTGATGGAACGCACCCTACTCGCCCAATGAGTTCAGAAAGCAGTATTTTCAAGTACCAAACCAATTGCCGTTTTAAATGAAAATAAACAAGCACAAAAGACAGAAATAGACACAACTGATTCTTAAATGTGTAATTACATTGAGGTAATTGACAAATTAAAGGAGAAAACTCCCTGCTCTCCATAAAGAAAACAGCAAGAAGCACACCTAGCAAGAGGTAGCATACCTGAACACTCCATAGCTGACAGTAGAATCTCATGCAACTAGGGCTTCCACAGAAAACCCTGGTTTATGCCCCACTGGAGGAAGGGCTGCACGTAGTCCCGGTCAACGCACCTTTGGCTGCTTCAAACGGCCAGTGGCCAGCATTAGAGACACAAATTCGCTCTAGCTTTGTCTTGAGAAACTCGGAACAATAAAATACCATGTAGGGAATGGAGAAGAAGGTGGAAAGGAGTTGCCTTCTCACTGATCTGTATCAATTTCTTATTGAAAAGTAAAGTATTGGAGAACCTATCTGCCTGGCTACTCGATGTCCAGCTAAGGCAGCGTCAAGATTAGGTCTAAATCAGCAAAGACGCTTGTTATCCTCTCCTAAATTTCCGTTCCACACAGCAACTGCTCTGAAGGGAAATGAGGGCAGCTGTAAATTCGAGCACAGGTGAAAGAGCCCTCCAGGCGGACCCGTCGCTTCCCTCGAGAGGTCCTAATGCAGGTTAGGCTCCGGCCACCGGCCAGCCTTCGCACTCATGGGCCTGCCCTGGGTTTTCTTCCCTAAGTCGCTGCAGCCTGGGCTCCCTCCTTGGCATGCCGCTCACGCTGCCGCCTTGGGGTAACTAGCAGGCTTTGTGTCCGAGGGGAAAGATAAATCCATGGGAGAGGAAAGAGCGGGAGGGCTCCGGCTGGTGTTCAAAGAGAGGCAACAGAGCCTGAGTGAAAGAGATATGCTTTCAGCACCACCCGCTGTCCCCCCTCCTCCTGCAGCAGGCGCCACGCGCGGCCGCTAACCGGTCTATTGAAAAGCAATTCTCCGTCCTCTTTCCTTCTCCACCTTTGCTTCTCACAATTCCGAGCCCTCCGGTGGTTTGCGGGAGCACACTCTGCATTCGAAACCACGCGCACCTGGTCTTAGAGAGCGGGAACTCGGATCCGAAGGCATGCAGAATCCCCTTTTCAACCCTTGCAGTTTTTCCCTGCTTCACCCCATTGCTCGCGCTTTTTCCCCCAAGAGGTTTAATGAAGGCTGCTTGCAAATGGAGCAGACTGGCATCTTGCATCGGCTTTGGCCACCCCCGCTCCACCCGTGTCCCCCTCCCCCAAACCAAACTATAAGCTACTCAGCAAGCTAATAGATCCTCAATCCTTCTCTGGCCAGGGGACACTTGGGCACACAGACACTTAGCAAGCTTACCCCCCTGTTGGCTGCGCAGCGAGCAGTGAGACTCGGTCTAGCTAGCCCCCCGAAAAGTTGGGCCACGGGGATCAGCGGGGCAGAGCCGGCCTCTCCAGTCCCCGGCTTCCCCCCCAAGATGATCTCAAGCTCATCCCCTCCACTCAGCGTGCGCAGAACAGCCGAGCTGAGGGCGGCGTGTGCAGCAATCTCCCCGCTACTAAGAAAGGGGGGAAGGGGGGAAGGGGAGAGAGCGGAGGAGGGAGGGGTGGTAGTTTGTATTTATAGAGAACAGAGTTCTTTGCGCAACTTTTTGGTGCCACCAAGTGGCACAGTGAGTTCCTTTAGGAACACAGACTCCTGGGTGAATCTGGATGGGTAGACCAGCTCTGCAAACAGATGCTCACATGGCAAGGGAGCTGGAGGCACTCCCAGGACTTAGTTTTCACATGTTTACCATCATATCTCAGCACCTGTAATACAAATTCCTAAATTCTAAGAATAATTCTGTACTGCGTCAGAAAGGGCACCTGCGCCTTCCTCAGACAGGTGGAAGAAGTGTCAAGGACATGGTAGGTCCCAGTTGTCTCCTAGGAGTATAGACATCCTTGTCTCAGGAGGAATATCCATTATCTTCTTCTTCCTAACCCTCTGCCTAGATTACACTGCATTCATATTTTACTCTAAAACCTTCTTCTTGCCACCCTGACTGCCTAATCTTTAAACTGAATTGGCACTTATTTTCTTTGCCATCAAACCTTCTTCCTCAATGCTAACCTTAATAATAACATATGACTTCATGACTTTAGGCTCTCTCTGGATCTGAACCTTTCTAAACAGCTCTCAGAACTCCAATTCATTGAGATGCAGGCTGAATGTCTGATTTTCCTCACTCATTTCCACAGACCTCTCAGCTTGCATTATACCCACAGCACAGTCAGGATCTTGCCAACTCCCTTTAATACACTGAGGAAGAATCCCCTAAAGCTTTCTTTAACCACATTTTATGAGTGTTCTTACTTCTTAGTATGCAGATCCTCAAACACATACATAGACACTATTGCATGGGCACTTCATGTCCCCAAATGCAGAAGAACCTCTACATTTTTCAGTAAAGAAACTGAGTACATGAAGGTTAAGGGGCTTGTTCAAGGTCACATTTCTCTACAGACCAACCCAGGACTACCTAGCATAGAACTGAATGAACACAGTGATGCCAAACCTGATCCACCTGTTCTTGTTCTTTCCACTACCTTACTCAGCCTATTCAGTCATTTTCAGCTCCGTTGTCTTCCCTCTCTCTCTTCATTTCTCTCTCTCTCTCTCTCTCTCTCTCTCTCTCTGTGTGTATGTGTGTGTGGGGGGGGGTGGGCGGGGGTGACAGAGATCTTCCTCTGCCAAAGTTCCATAAAGGAACCAACAGTAAACATGTCTTCCTAGCTCCACTGGGAGTACATGAACTTGAGTTTATAGGTCCAGAGTTGCAGGTGTACCATCTTTACATGACCCACAGTTCTAGAAAAACCTCTCCCCCCTAGTACTGTAGTCCTTTTAGAAATGGAACACTGACATTCACACCCAATTGGGTCCTTTCTTTGCTGCCTCTTGTTGGGGTGAAGCGCCAGCAAGTGATCTTATTAGCTCCCCTAAACATCTAATGGGGCTCAAAGGTAGAGGAGCCTCTCTCCCTTGCTAAATGCATGCCTTCCATGCACTTGTGTCGGTATGACAGACACACACACACACACACACACGCACACGCACACACACACAGATCCAAACGTATCCTTTGGCTCAGATCTTTATTTTTTCCTCCTCTGATTTTTTTAGTTCGTTTTCTATGGAAACGAGCCCACTTAAATCCCTCACTTATGCAAATAAAAGCAAAATGATCTTCATAAACCTCCCATTGGAGCGATGCCGCGGTAGCCCAGGCTTCCGACTTAAATTTATGTCTGATTCACACAGCACACGTCCTTGCAGGGTGACTTTTTTAAACTTGCAGGACCTCGGAGCGTTCCTGGCTCCACCAGTCCTCCACCTGCCCACCACCTGCCATCCTGGGTCTCTTAGCCCCAGCTCCCGCCCCTTGCCTGATTGCTCTCCATCCCTGCGCTGGGGGAGGGGCTCCAGCGGCATCCTATATCCGTGGTAACTATAGCCAAGAGAAAGAAAAAGGCGCTGTGCTTACCAGGTGCGCGCCCTGAGCCTTGCGCCCCCAGCCAGCCGCTCCTCGAGGGCTTCCTGCGCTCCCGTAGCGGCCTTGGCTGCAGCTGGAGCGCTAGTGTCGGCGATGGAGGCAGCGGTGACAGCAGGCAGAACGGCTGCGGGGCCCGCGGCGGTGGCGCTCGCTCTCTCGCGCCAGCGCCGGGAGCACGTGCCGCGCTCGGGCAGACGCAGCTGGAAGCGCAGCGCTGGGCTGGCTTCTACTCCTGCAGCGAGCGGCGGGGGTTGGCAGAACGGCGAGGGCAAAGACTCAGTGGGTAAATAAGAGTCTTGAAGCCTCGTCGTTTCGGGGTTCAAGCGAGGGTAGCCTTGGGCTCCTTCTCCTGCTCCTCACATTCCCTCCGAGAGCCATGGAAGGAGGAAAGCTGTGCGGGGGAGGCGTGGGTGGTGTGTCACTCAGAAGCTAGGGGAGCAGGTAGATAATAAGGTTCTTTTTGACTATGGCACTTAAACCCCTGACAATGATTGGGAGAAGGAGCGTCACTGCTGGAGGGTAGAGAGAGGTAGGAAGTCAGGGAACCCCGAGATGATTCAGAAGTGTGAGTGGTTAGAAAGAACGGCCTCTAATGATGTTACTTATGAATAATACCATTTTGCATTTGTCTGCACTTCTTACAAACGATTCTTTCTACATCCATTAAAATTTCTTCTTCCTTGGCAGCTGAATGTCTTTTACTTTCTCAAATGACTTTTCTTCCCTTCCTTCACCACCCCCATAACTGCCCAGAATTGTCAGATATGCTGAGGTTATCTTTAAATACAAAAAAAAAAAAAAAAAAAAAAAGACTTCATTTCTGCCTCTGAAAAGGAGATTGGTATAAACTACTTGTGTGGCTTAATTTAAAGAAAAGAAAGACTTTGCGGTAATATGATTATTATTATTAACATTGTATTTCCCTAGCTGAATTTTAGGAACCAAGTGCTTGCAGCAGCTGGGTGAAAGATTAAAAGATGAATGCACTAGCCAAGGGGACTGGTGCTGATGCATTCATTAACAATGCTCGTTAGATTTCTCAACAGACCGTTGTCAATAAGGTAAGTTACTGTTTGATAGCTTCAGGATTTAACAAGAAAGAGATGTATCTACCACATCCTGTTGAGTTTTACAATGGTATCTTTCTTCTTGCATTTTCATATCTACTGATGGGATCGTTATGTTTTGTAGTTCTTTGATTGCAATTCACAAAACAAGTTTTAGAACTTTAGAAAGAGGCCAGGAAAGCTGTGAGAGATCTTCTTTAATTTAAAAAAAAAAAAAAAAGGAATAAAGATGGCATAGAGGAGAAAATAGAAAGATAGCATAGGTGAGAAAATACAAAAAAAATGGAGTTTATAGGAGAATGGAGCGTAACATGACTAGATGATTCTGGTGATGCGATTAAGTCTAATGAATAAAGTGATTTGTTTATCCAACTGTCTAAGGAATTAACAATAAAGATAAGGTCAAATTTGAGTCCTTGTATGAGACACTTAGCTTTGAATGAGCATAGGGCACCCCAAGTTTCTATTTTTCTTCATCAGTTGGAGCTGCATCAAAATACATTAGTGAATGGGAAAGGAGTTCTCGTGTTGGTCACTCAATCACTTCAATTCTTCAATTTCCTACACATATTTCCTTCTCTTCTGTCTCCTAGTGTTATGAAGAGAGTGGGATGAGATAAGACATGTCAAAGTGTGTCAAAAAATGACAAAGCACTCCATAAATGTAATATCTGCTTACCAAGACATACCCACTTCTTATGCTCTAAAGACAAGAAGCTGAAGGACATTCTCTATGTTTAACAATAGCAATATTTTCAGATGAGAAGGAAAACATGATAATATAATCTTAAAATTGTTCAGTGACATTTTAAAATGTAGCTTTGTCTCATAATTGTAAAGTGCTGAATTAGGCAAAATTAAAAGGAATATAGGAGCAATGTTTTAAGTTCCAAAAGTAAGTCTTGATTAAAATGGCTCACGGGTGTAACTTTTGCCTTAGGATGAGCTTTTAATGAACAAAATATTTTAATTCTTATATAGAACGGTAGAAAAAAAAGAATGGAAAGCTCATTCATTCTCAGAATTGATCAAGCTTAAAACTTGAAATCTTCATTCATCCCTGTCTTACACATGAGAATTTGTCATGAAATCCTGTTAGCGCTACCTTTAAAATATATCCTTGAATCTTACCACTTCTAAACACCTTCACAGATACCATGTTGAATCAATCGATTATCATCTTTTACCGGCCATACAGAAATGGATTCCAAGCTAGTACAGGCTATATTCAGCACAGCATCCAGAGCAATCCTTTAAAGAAGTTACCTTAAATTGAAGCCCTCCAGTAACTTCTGATTTCACTTGGAGTAAAAGCCTAAGTCCTCTAAAAAAATATTTAGAATATTTAAATGAATATTTATGCAAATAGAGCTACACCTGTTATATGCTGCCCTTCATTGTCCAAGTTGGCAACATTGACGGTAAATCATGTTAATGCTTGCAGGAGGTCTGAAAGACT